CAATAGGACGGGCAAGGAGCGTTATGTATAACGGAAAGTCTCGTCATATACGACGAAGACATAACACCGTTAGACAACTACTTTCTAGTGGAATATCACTATTGATTATGTAAGATCAAAGGATAATGTGGCGGATCCGCTTACAAAAGGCTTAACTAGAGAGGGAGTTGAGAAATCATCTAAGGGAATGGGACTATGGCCGAGAACAAGTCAACATGGCGGTAACTCTACCTAGAATTTTGGATATTTCGAGATCTAGGTTCAAGGAGCTCAAACAAAGTTGTGATTGACCGGTTCAACATTGTCAAAGTAAAATCTTTGGTCCATTCTCGTGATGAAGACAATGTTCAGTAACAAGGATAGAACTTTACACGTTCTTTAATAATTACCTAAGTTTGATGTGGTATTTATCAAATAGTGTCAATCTAAAGGATTACACGTTTAGGAATCACCTATGTAAGTGTGAAGTGGAAGCCGCTTCAATGAGAATTCTGTAAGGCCAATTCTCTACGCACTTATGAAACCAGGCGGTGTTCATGGCTGAAACGAACACAACAATGAGAACCAAAAGACGGTTAAGGGTTGGTTGTGTGACATATGGTTGTCTAGGTATACACTAAAGTTCGACAGTTCAAAGATATCAAATCTACCGATTGACCGAGTATATCCAACATATGTTCACTACGGAAAGTTCAAAGGGAAACCTACTTATCCAGATGCAATTAATCCTTACTTGCAAATCACACAGCTTTCATCGATGATCATTCTTGTTACAGCCATTTCCCTCCATTTTATTTTGTCCTTCATTGGTGAGGGACAACTACATTTGTGTGTATATATATAGGATCACTTCTTAGAGCTCTTAAAAGAGTTGAAGAGAAAGAACCCTCGCGTCGTCGTCGTCGCTCGCTCGGCTCGGCTTTGGCTTTGGATTTGGATTTGAATTTGGATTTGGATTTGGATTTGGAAAATGATCGATCGATAAGATTATTTTTTGGAAAAAATTTATTTAATTAATTAAAAGCCAGTCAGTTAATTAACGAAATTAACTGAAATCTGAAATCCAAAAACGCTGAACGTTAATTTTTCCCTTCTGAACAGACATTTTTCCTGAACAGACATCACACCTCTTCCGATAATTGCCTATAAATTTTGAGGCATGGCTGCATTTTCGATACACTGAAAAATTACAGAACTTCCTTCTTTCTGAAAATCCTGCATTCTATTTCGTAGAATCTCTTCTAAATTCGTAAGTGTGATTTTGCTCCGTTCTTTGAGTTCGTTGGTATCCTGCAGTTTGCATTGCCACTGTTGCAGGAGGGTTTATTCCGTTTCATCCTGGGAGGATTTAATCCATTACCTTGGCAACGTGTGAGGGGGTTAAAATTCCTTAAGGACGCACAAGCAAATTATGGACTCGGAATATCTTTTATACTTTACTGTTTTCCCAGTTTTTTTTTCTTCTAACAGTCTTTCTGATTTTATGTTTTAACACAGTAGCGTTCACAAAGTTCTCATACTAGCTCCAACGTGTACTTCCTTTGACACATATATATGCCCTTCTTTGATCTGGAAAACTCAATGCCTAGGAAAAATGTAAGATCTCCAAGGTCCTTCATTTTAAACTTCTTCTGTAGGTCTTTCCTTGTCTTGATCAGCAGCTCATGACTACTACGTGTGATGATTACATCATCAAAATATATTAGAATCACAATTATATCACTGCCTAGCTTCTATGTGAATAGTGAGTAATCAAATTGACTTTGAACAAAGCTCAACTGGTGCAGGGCTTCAATCAGTTTCAGATTCCACTGTCTTGGTGCTTGTTTCATACCATACAGTGGTTTGTGTAATTTGCAGACTTTCTTAATCTCCCCATGTCTAACAAATCCATCTAGAATAGACATGTAGACTTCTTCTAAGAGATCACCTTCTAAGAAGGCATTTTGGACATCCATTTGATAGATGAACCAATTTTTGGATGCAGCCACAGCTACCACTGATCTGACAGTAACCATTTTAGCCACTGATGAAAATGTTTCTTTGTAATCCAGTCCTTCTTGTTGACTGTATCCTTTTGCCACTAAGCATGCTTTATACCTTTCCACTTCTCCCGATGATTTATATTTGACTTTGAACACCCATTTTGCACCCAATGGGAGTTTTGCCTTCAGGAAGATCCACTAAACTCCATGTGTTGTTCTCCTCAAAAGCAGTTATCTCTAGTCTCATTGCTTCAATCCACTTTGGATCTACAGCAGCTTCCTTGAATGTGGAAGGATCCAAGGTAGAAGAGTAAGAGTTCAAGGATTTCTTGTAGGAAGAGGTAAGTTAATCATAACTGACATAAGAAGAGATAGGATAGATACAGTTGGAAACCTTAGTAGTAACATAATCTTGTAACCAAAGAGGTTGCTTCACAGTTCTAGATCACTTGGATGTTCTGTAGTAGCAGGATCAAGACTAATAACAGAGTTATCAACTCCTATATCACAAGGAGCATGTGAAACACTAGGCTGCTCTACAGTATCGAATCCCACATTAGGTTGATCTGCAGTATTAGAGGGCATTGAAGGACTAAGATGAACTTGTATCTCCTTCCACTTGAGTAGAGTGAGAGTCATAGTGTTATAAGGCTGGTAGGGACTGAGTATGGATGATGGGTTCTAAGACTGGAATAGGTGTGATGTAGAGGGTGTGAAATATTTAAAAGGAAACAAGTCTTCTTTGAAAACCACATTCTTGCTGACAAAGAATGTTTTAGCATGCAAATCATAAAGTTTATAGACCTTTTGAGTAGATGAATATCCCCTTAGGACTGCTGGAATAACCTTGGCTGACAACTTATCAGTGACATTTGGACTTGATGCATATGCAAGACAACCAAAGACCCTCAAGTGATCAGTACCTGGAGGGTGTAAGTGCAGTTGTTCAAAGGATGATTTGTCTTGTAGAATAACATAAGGTAGTCTGTTAAGAAGATATACAGTTGTAGACACGCATTCCCCCCAGAACTTCACAAGTACTTCCCCTTGAAACCTCAGTGATCTAGCAACATTCAAAATTGATCTATATTTCCTTTCTATCACACCATTTTGCTAAGGTGTGATGACACAGGAACTTTGGTGCATCATGCCATTTTCCTTAACTAATTCATCAAACTGAGAGTGAAAAAACCTCATCCATTATATGTTCTCAGAATTTGAATATTAGAGTTGAAAATGTTCTTTACCATAGCTAAGAACTATCTCATAACAACAATAGTTTCAGCTTTATTGTTCAACAAGAATATCCGGGTGTACCTGGAAAAATCATCTACTAGTGCTAGAAAGTACCTCTTACCATCATGTGTAGGCACTCTATATGGACCCTAAACATCACCATGTACTAGTTGAAAATGTTTATTTGAATATACTTGTGGGAAATGAAAGTTTAGGCTGTTTTGCAAGTGAACACACTGAATATGAAAGTTTAGAACATTCTGAATCTCTTGGTTTCTGAATATGATAGATGTTCCTGTATTTGATATAGATACCACATTACTAGTTGGTAGATGTACTTTTCCACCTTTTAGGTTAGGGTCTCTATCCAGTTTATTCAATAGAGTAGAGTTTGCTACCATCTGATTAGTAGCCCTAGTGTCAACTATCTATCTATCATCGAATAAGCTTTGTTAATAGAGGGAGAAGAGATCATCATTAACAACTGACTTCTCGCTTCTTCATATGACTCATTAAGTCCCATGAGAAATTGTAGAAGCTTCAATATCTCCATAAACACAACAAATTCACGAGACTTCTCACAGTCACACCAGGAATTGGTGCTAGACTATCAAATTCCGCCAACAGTAGACGTAATTTTGAAAGATATGAGGAGATTGAGCTAGTACCTTGATTTATTGTGTCAATGCTTTTGTGAATCTGAAAAATTCTGGAGAGATCAACCTTGTCGAACCTCTCTTTTAGAGTATTACACACAACATTAGCATTTGAAGAATAAACAATTCCACTGAGTAATTCTAGAGAAACACAATTCATTATCCACAACAGTATTATCGCATTGCATCTGTCCCAAAGATCCACTAGAGTTGGACCGTAATTCTCTCGTTGGCACTTGCCATCTGTGAACCCTAACTTGTTTTGTCCTAAAATGGCAATCCTCATAGCGCGCTCCACACAAAGTAATTCTCTGGACCTCGTAGCTGCAATGAGATTAAAACTATTCTTGAATTTTCATTAGAGTTCAAAAATAGAGGATGATTGTGACCTAATATTTCTGGAACTTCGTTATCAACTTCCGCCATTGCTGAGCTCAGAAGCACATACTGAACTAGTGAGAAGAAGAAGAAGAAGAAAACTTGGAGAGAAAGTCTAATTGATTTTCATTTCTTCAACATACACAAATGAGCTACATCTCAGATTTATATAGGAATGTTAGAGTTCTAGATCACCGACTAATTCTGACTCTAATACTAACTCTAGTTAAGTTACTTACTCACTTGCTAACCACCGGCCTAACTAATTCACTAACCAACTAATGCCACATCAGCTTGCTATACTCTCAACGGTTTACAGTCCCTGCTCACATCACCTCGGACGTAAAAAAACAAAAAAAGAGTGAATACGTCACAACCAAATCCCCCTAACTATTGACTTCACCTCCGCGTTTTGCTTTATGTGGACACAAAAAAGACCATGAATATGTATGTAGTACAAGAAGAATTAACTCAAATAGTCATATACCTAACCGCTTAAATTAAAATAAAGTACGGATGCATAATATGTGTATAACAGTGTATGATCAATGTGCAATCTATATATATCGATTAGAAAAAATAAACAGTAAATTCGATCGGCTATTTGTGTGAAGATTCGGGTCTGTTGTATAATTAGCTAAGATGGGTCATTGTTCTCAAATCCTTTTCTGGGTTACTGTTATCAAATTGACGACCTAATTTGCTAAAGACAAGCTCATAACTTGCATCATTTGGACTTGAACAGCCATTATTGAGGGGCTTGGATCAGTTTCCAAATATTTCCGTGGACGTTACAAAAGCTATCAAGAAGACTTCTTGCAAATTATTGGATGCTTTTGTTGACTTCATATTTGAATTCGTTGGCCAACCATTACTCCCATCTCAGGTAATTTTCCAATGTCAATATCCGCTGTTAAAAAAAAAAAAAAAAGACAATTGCAACTATAGCTTCCAGTCATGTGCATCTTTTTTCTTTGTGGCTGTGTTTGGTACGAAAGAAAATATTTTTCGGAAAATACTTTTTAATTTTTTCATATTTGGTTGGCTTAAATATTTTGAAAAATATTTTCCTTATGAACTCATTTTCCTCCAAGGAAAATGTTTTTCCTACCAAGAGAAGTGAAAATATTTTCCAAACCTTCTTCTCAATTTGCCCCACCCTATTCCCCATCCCACCCACCCCAACCCCTGCCTACCTACCCCACCCCCACCCCATCCTCGCCCTAAATAAAAATATTATTAATAATACTTTCTATTTATGTTATACATAGATTTTCTTTTTGTGTTTCAACACATGAGTATTTCTTTTACATGACATAGAAAAGTATTTTCTTCACTTTAAGAAAAAAAAGCACTTTCTTTTTATAGAAAAAATATTTTCTTTCATTTCACAAAAAAAATTATTTCTTTTCAAGATGTAAAAAATGTTCTTTTATTTCAACAAAATGAGTATTTTCGTTTCATAGTATAGAAAAAATATTTTCTTTTATTTCAATAAAATGAGTATTTTATTTTCATGTTGTCGAAAAAGTACTTTCTTTTTCAACCAAAAAAAGAATATTTTCTTTTTAGTTGTGGAACACAAATTTTAACCTTATTTTGGCGTAAAATGGTAAAGCAATACATTAGTTTATTTGGGTTTGTGTGAATTTTTAGAAGAATAATTAAATTCCTTGAAGAAAGTAGAGTCATGAAAATGTTTGGTATTTGGGGGAGGGGGCGAGCAAGAAAATATGGGGACTTGGAGGAGGGGGTGAGGAAAGTAACATACAAAAATATTTTTCTAAAAAAATATTTTGTTCTCTCTATCCAAACACAAGAAAATATTTTTCACTCACCAACCAAACAAGGAAAAATATGTGATAAAACCACATACACCCTGTAAGCCCTTCTCTGGCATGGGTAAAGCAGCTAACTCTAGAAGCTAGGGCTTTGTTCACCTTTGGATATGAATACTGTTCCGTTCTCAGCAGAAACCCGCCTTAGAGATTGAATGGCAATAAGATAAGTCAACGTTATTAGGCACATAGGAAAGACTCTGACTATGCGCTGGAACTAGCCCTGGGCATGGATTCTTCTTTGATTGAAGGAACGGGACAGAAGAGAACCAGAACCATATATCTTGTAACTTTCTTTCTTAACACAGGAGGGATTTTTGAACCACTAATATATGCAATTAATTTTTACAGCGTAATTTTGCACCAGTGGGAGAGATCGGAGAAGCTACAACGTCAGTAACTAGAGTTGAAGGAATGATTCCGGATGATTTTCCAGAGGGTGTTTACATAAGAAATGGTACGTACGTATCGTCGGATTCATTCTGTGTTGAAACGAGATATACATATCTTTGTATGGATTGACAATATGCCATTTAGCGAAAAAGATGAAAAAAGAAAGTTTATGTACCTAATTCAATATAATTGTTCAAATCCTTAGGTGTGTAGAGCTTAACAATCAACATTTTACAAAAAAGTAATTACGAAGCGTCTGGACAATATTTGAGTTAAGATAGGAAAAGAAGTATTTGAAGAAGAATTTTTAAAAAATTATAGAAATTGAAACTTAATTTGTTTGGATATAAACATTTTTTTTGTGTGTGTGTGTGAAAGCTTAGTTAAAATTTTTGGGAGGGAAAACCAGTGTTTCAATAACTCACTTGAAAGATCAAATACAGCTCAGTATTTACAAATATGCTTTTAACAATGGTATCACGTAGTGTTCACTTATATATATGTGGTTTGGAGCATTATTGCAGGCCCAAACCCTCTGTTTGGAGGGCTAAAATCGACCAGATCTATATTTGGTGAATCAAACCACATGTGGGTTGAGGGAGAAGGAATGCTTCACGCTTTGTACTTGAAGAAAAATGCAAGAATTAGGGGCAGGTGGAATACATTGTACAAGAACAAACATGTCCAAACAGATACTTACAAAATGGAAAAGGATAGAAAAAAACCAGGTTTTCTTCCTGCTATTGAAGGCGATTCTCCTGCTGTCTTACTGGCGTACCTTCTAAATGTGGTATGTATTAGTACTCCAACAAAAAACCTACGTATACTAAGTTTGGGGCAACTGCCAACAATATCGTAATATTTGCCAACAAAATCACTTTCTTGTCTTTTGTTAAAATTTACCACCAATAGTAATAATGGTTGTTGGTGAGTTCAGTCATATGTACTAATACACGAGGTGTGATACATCTACGCATTTTAAGAACTAGTTAGATTTGGGTTTGCTTGACATTTAAAAATAAGATATCCATGTCATGTAAACTAAATTTTGTCTTGGTGTTGGATTAATTTTTATTTAAGTACAGGTTCATAACTAATGAATGAAAATTAGCCAAACGCTTTTGTTATCATTTTAGTAGGTTCTTTTTATCAAGCTATTGCTAATTTGTGGCCGCTCATTTTTCTACTTACATAGTATCAGAGTCTACACTCCTACAAATGCTTCGGAACACATTCTATTTCACTCTGCGAGCATGTATAGATGATACTAAATTGAAATTTAAATGATGGCAATAGATGATTTGAGTAGTAATGTCTTTGCAGTTGAGGTTTGGCGTGATAGACAAATACCTGAGCAATACTAATGTATTTGAACATGCAAAGAAATATTACTCAATTGCTGAGAACCATATGCCTCAAGAGATCGACATACATTCCCTAGAAACACTGGAAAATTGGAATGTTACAAGTGGATCTTGGACCAGACCATTCACAAGCCACCCAAAGGTATACATTGATGGAAAGACAAAAACATATATATATATATATATATATATATATATATATATATATATATATATATATATATCATTTTCTTAATTTGTGGATTTCTTACATTAATACGCAGAAAGTGTTGGGAATAAAAAAATAATATCCCGCCCAGGAATAATATCCACGATAAATAATAATAACACAAGAGAGTAACAACGACACCAAATATTTTAACGGGATAAAATACAATACCCCAGCGGAGCAATATTACCATTATAATATTACAACTTAGTAGTGTCAAGAGACTACTACAACTTCGAAAGAAATAACACTCTTTATTTTAAACACCTCACTACAATATTACTCCCACTCACTATTTATCTCACAGACTACAATCTGTGGATTACTCTCTCTAACTCTCTGTTGCTTCTCTCGATTTGGTGTGTTTAAAACTGAAACGGAACACTTCCTTTTATAGGCAAAGTTGCCGTCCAAATTAACCAATCAAAATCATTCTTTGCAATTTGCAGATTTGCAAATTGTCGTCTTGTTACCGTCCATATCAACTTGTTGCTAACTTTGTTTTGCTTCTGGTTGCAACTTGTTGCATTTGCAGCTTGTTGCCAACTTTCTCCTTTTCTTTACTTTATTAAATGGGTTCTACAAATCTCTCCCTTAATTTTGATTTTTCTTCTTCATTCCAAGTATTGATCTCAATCTCTGAAAATCTTCAAACTTGAGAGGCTTTGTAAAGATATCCGCAGCTTGATCATGAGACTTTACATATTTCAGCTTGACTTCCTTCTTGGCAATGCATTCTCTGATAAAGTGATACCTTGTATCAATATGCTTGCTTCGATCATGATACACTGGATTCTTCGCGAGTGCCTGTGCGGATTTGTTGTCAATACAAATTTATGTAGCTTCAATTTGTGGTAAATTGAGCTCCTTCAACAATCTTCTCAGCCAAATAGCATGACATGTACATGATGTTGCTGCTATATATTCAGCTTCACAAGTCGAGAGAGTAACATTGGTTGTTCTTTGAACTCCAGAATACAGAATCACCCAGAAAAAACTCAAAACCAGTTGACTTTTTCTATCATCATACTCTCCCGCATATCACTATCACAAAAATCCCCTAAAG